CCCATTCCTCGTTGTACGCTAGAGCAACCTGGAAGACACTCAGCAGCACGCTCTCTAAGACGGGCTGAATGAGCATAATTTTTTCCTTAAAAAAGCATAATGACTCCAGGTACGCTTTGAACAACTTGTCATTCGCCTGCTTCAAAGAAACCAAACCATATTGGGCACCAAACGAATGCCTTTGAAGGTGGAAACAATAAAATAACAAATGGATAGTGGCCCCGACACCCAAATAGTCGTACATGATCTCAAAAGCCCGAAGGAAAGCGATCGAGTTCGGGTGCAGCTGGGACAGATCTAGACAAAGATGCTTGTAGACCGCCACTTAAAATTCTGAGAAAGGGAGCCGCAAACCCATATCCCTAAACACGACCTCGTACATAAGGAACCGACAAGCTTTAAACTGCGAGCAGATCCGACTCTTCTTGTTGGGAATGTAGATTGCCTATTTCTCTTCAGCACCCTCTCGGTCCATCTCCAGATCCAATAAGGTGAATATCTCGTCAGGATGCTCAATAAAGTAAAAGACATACCTTAACGGGGCCGACACAACCTGATCCAGTGGACCTTCCTCGCCCACATTCATGCTGGGAGCCTCTTGATCGACATGAGCCACCACCACGCCCCCCTCAACATCCTTATTACCAGGCAACTATGGCTCCAGTACTCCCGGCGAGGACTCATACGCCCCTGAGGTGCTCGCCTTGCCGGATGTACTCTTGGAAGAACTCTTAGCTGGACCAATAGGCTCATTGAGAAACTTTTCATCGATAGTAGTAGTCATCGTACATGAAAAATAGAGGATGAAAGTGAGTTCGACGTCAACGTCAAATCCACCCTTTCACCACTAATCAAGTGAAAGGGCGCCAAGGAACGAGGACCATGTCCCCGACCAGAGCCCTCACTTAAACAATTACAAGACGAGTTCCCTTCCCCGATCAAGCCTGGTGGATTCATATAAAAAATTTCCTACATTCATCTGACGCCACTGAAGTTCCAAAAACTCCCCTGTGGAGGACACTTGGTATCCTCGACGCCCTCACCCGCCAGAACCATCGTCTCCAACAAACATTTCACCAGAATTTCTAAGAAATCAGTTACCTTAAACCTTAACCTCATGCATTTTCTAAGGAAGAACCTTAAAATCTAAATTATAACAGAAGTGACAATTTCTGAAACAAGGGGAATCAAGGTAACTTACCAGACTAAGTGAAGGAACAACAAAAAGAGACGGCGGTGAACGGAGGAACGAACAAAATTTTTGGAAAAGGATGAAGTCGAGCATATACGGATGAAGTCGAGCAAGAACAAAGATATCGAGCAGCTGAAAGAGAGACGAAAAGTATACATGGAGCTCTCTCCCCTTCTTTTATAGGTTGGGCTCACAGCGCATGGACGGGCACGCGTCTAGAGAAATCTAAAAGGCATCATCATTACGCCCTAGTCCCTAGGCTATCCATCATCACACCTATCTGACAGCACGTGGCTCAATGCATGCGAAGCACACAATCTCTCCAGATTCCTCTCCCCGGTAACCAAACACTGGGAAAATTTCTAAATTCCTCGCGCAAAGTTGATCCTCTAAACGAATTGCTCAACCGTTCTCCTCCTCGCGAGGAAAACGCGACGAACATCATTTATACCCCTCAAGCAATGTTGACCAAGAAGTATCCCCATTTCACAGACTAATTCTAAGTCATCACTCCTCTGCCCATAAGCAACGACTTAGGGGGATCCTATTCTGGACTGGCCCAATGACTAGAATTGGCCCAATCCACTTCTACCATTGGCACGACCCAATAATAGTTACCCAGCATTCTGGTCGACCACACTCCTAAGCGCCCAACCATCTATTCCAGACACGCACGCTTGATCCAGCCAACAGTTTTCTCCTGTCAACCCGACACCAGTCGAACAGATAACCAGGAAACGTCCAGAACGACCATCTACCCGTAATCTTCCTCCTCCATGGATCCAACAGGTAGTTACGAGCACACCTTCTTGTTTTCACCGAGTCTTGGTTGTTATCTATTTTTGGGGACCCACATATCTAGGTACAAAAATAGGGACCAATAGCCAAGCGTTGAGGGCATTATATAAACCTTCACACATGTGAGAGCAATGTATCTAATATTCATCTCTGAAACTCTAATACTTTGCTTGTATCTCTTTGCTCCCACACTTACTTGATCATCAGAGTGCGTTGCAGGTACAACACCCCCCCCCCCCCTTTCTCCTCAACTTTCCAGCCTGTCAAAGATCATCCTATGGCCAACATACATATTCTGATCAATCGGTAAGATCAATATCATTTCTGATATTTGGTATTTAGGTATTTTTAAATGAATTATGTATCAAATATTTGACATTTATTAGGTACCACAATGATGTTTTATAAAAAAACTATGATGTAAAAATATTCTACCCAGGGTTTCGGAGATGCATATCCAAACGAACCATTAAATCAATTTCGAAGGTGTTTCAGATATGAATATCAAAAAATATCACTCAATGTTGTCCAAATTATAATAACGTGTAAACAGGGAATTTTCGAATATGTATATCTGAAACATCTTGAAAATGATTTTAAGAGTTTGTTCAGATATGCATATTGGAAGAATATTTTAGAGTTTTCGGATGTATTTTTCACCGATATACGGGTGACCAAAGAAATCCATATTGTAATAAAAAATTAAGAAAGAAAATATTCCATTAAATAGCTTCTAAATCTTTTTATTTTAGAAAGTTTTTTTTTTTCATTTTTGTGTTTTCCTTGTGCCCTACAAAAAACCAACCCATATAAAACAAATAGCAAGGGAAAAAAAGAAATAAAAAAAATAATGGGCCAGTGGGGGATGTATACCCAGGTCTGGAAGTGAAGGCCCAAGTGGCTTCAAAAACAAACAGACCAAAAAATTAACTTGAATGCTCAAAATGATGGCTCATGTAGTTAATAATGATGCATACCGATAAAGTTGTAATTCACTTTGAAAAGAAGCAAAATCAACTTGTAAACATCATTTCAATCCAAACTCCAATTTCCAAAAAAATTCTAATGGAAAGGTGATTGAATAAAAATCATGTATAAGCATGTGTTAAACAATGTATTGTGAAATACCTAAACCAAAATTCTCACTCTCAAATATCTCTCTCTAACTTTTTTCTCACTCAATCTTTTTTTCTCCACATACTCAAACCCTATATTATTTATCAATCTTGTGATTGCATGTTCCAACACCAATTAGGGCTCTTCATAATATTTTTTTATTTTCAATTTCGGTTCGGGTCGGTTTCATATTTTGTTCGATTTATTTATCATATAGTTCGGTTTTAGAAATGTTTGTCCAATTTAGTTTGGTTCACTAACCATACATAATGGTTCGATTATTTTAACTTCCGTTCGTTTCAATTTAACAGTTCGATTCAGTTCGGTTCACATTTTTTTGAACAATCATATTTCAATCATGAATCGAAATGATATCCTTTCAACTTTGTGAACGATAAAATTTTCATTCAGTTTCACCAAACATTAATTTGTAACCGATTCTCCTTAACGTTAAATTGTAATTCATAATATCGAATAACGTGTGAGTCGAATTAGATTTGATTTAGTTACACATATATTTAATTAGATTTGATTTAATTCCAAAATAAGTATTTTGAATTTTTTTTAGTTTTGGATTTATAAGGCTTATGAAGCAAGTTAATCTAAAATTATAAATAGAGGGAGTAATCTCTATTTTTAAAATAAAATCAAGTTGTATTCACATAAATTTATAGTTACAAGTGAATAAATTTTTTTTCATTATTTGTAGGTAGAGAGAAACTCTGTAGAAAATCATTGTCTTTTTTTTATTTATATTTTTCATCGTTATTGTGTGATAATAACAATCTTATTCATCAAGATCGATAGAAATTCATCGTAGATTTTTTATAGATTTCTAACCCTTAATTCACAATTTCCTTTGTTAATTGGGAGAGAGAAAAAAAGAGAATAATCACACAAAGTAATTACATATATACAGTGTGAATGAATTTCAAATTTTATTATGTATTTGTGTGTTTACAATTGAATCTATTACAACCTATATCACCTTATAAAAACATGAAACTCCACATTATTCCTACTGCTATAAACAATGCTACATACAATTTCTATAAATGACCACTATTCACATTTCTCTCCATGATATAAGATCCTTTGATTATTGTATTTTACCAACCTAATACCAAAACATGACACAAAGTGCTTCACAAGGGCACAAAGAATGCAAAAAAAAATTCTCAAACCTACACTATACAAATACCACAATTACAATTGAGTTACAATTTTGTAAAACAAGAATAGAAACAATGTGTGTGACATGACAAGATATATATGTAACTAGCAAAAGGGTTTGTCTTTGTTTATATTTAGGAGGAACTAAAGACAAGAAAAGAATGAGTGCAAAAAATTTCCTAAGGTTTTTGGTCACCTTGTATATTAATGGAGGGCATTTGTGTATATGCAAATTGGATAAAACAAAGACTATGGAAAGAGAGAAAGATGAAGTAGGAAAGACATAGAATGACTAAGAGAAAATTGAGAACATAACAAAAATAAAGAGATAATGAAGGAGAGAACATCGAATACTATTAAGAGAATTGCTATAGAGGAGTCGGGTCTCTTCGACCCATTTACTTCTTGTAGTCAAATCTCAATTGCTAAATTAACCTAATAATCAATAGTTTTATCTATCGATTATTAGATTAATTCAAAAATTAAAATTTTGCATAATAAGTAAGAGGGTTCATCGAAGAATTTAAATCTTTTAAGACAGTTTTATGGTGTGGCTGATTATAGATCGTTAGACTTAGAGAGAGAAATTGATCTATTATCGACTTCGTTGTAAAGACGATTGTAGAGGATAGATCTGATCTGAAGAGAGAGAGAGAGAGAGAGAGAGAGACATATTGAGAGGAGAATTGGGAATTCCACAAAATGGAAAGGAAAATTAAACTTAAAAATCAAGAGGAGGAAAATAGGATATGTCTTGCATTAAACCCTCCAAATCCCATTCTCCCAATCTTAAGTTTTCTCCTTGGCCATGATTTCCAAATCCAAACAAGTCATCTACATTAGAATTTTGGGTATGATTAGTGCTATTGAAGCAACTATTATTGAAGTGGTTGATATGGCTTTTCATATTATGATGATCATCAATTGGGACACTCTTGTCTTCAATGACAATTCTACTTTCTAGTGGAAGAAGTTCAAAATCATTTTCTAATAACCCCATTTTATTATCCTCCAAAATCCCACTATGAAGCCCAATATCATCAACCATGTTACTAACTTGTGTTAAACATGCTGGCATGTCATGAGCTTGAACATGAAAACTTGTCGTCATGTCATAACAATTATTCGACAACAATGAAAATGGATCGAATTGTTCACCTAAAACCATGGCATGCATGTGCATGGATTGCATGGATGATGATGAAGTTGATGAGGATGAATCCATGCACAATGTCATGAGTTCTTGTTCATTTATCGGCATCATTATATTATTCTTCACATCAAAAACATTATCTATTGGTTGATCTGATAAATCACTACTGTTTGGAGATGGAGTGTTGTTTTTCAATCTCTTCTTCAATGTAGAATTCCAAAAATTCTTTATTTCATTGTCGGTACGACCCGGAAGACGCGCCGCAATCTGAGACCATCTGATATTGTTTTAATGATGCAAAAAAAATTAAAATGAGTAATTAAAAAGACTTAACTATAACCACTATAACCACTATGCAAATGATAAACCTTAATTAATAATCAATGTTTCTTAAGTTGAATGCTATAGATCTTAATATTAAATGCACCCAAAAACCCTAACATGCTTTAATGCTACGTCACTTTATATTGTAATATAGATCTAATCTAACACACTGTCACACAAAAATGTACATCACTTAATTTTCCAAATACTAGGGTTTATTCATGGTTACTTGTTTCCTTTCTCATAATAAATTATAAATTTATTTATTTTTTAGATTAATTGAATAATTGATGTATCTGATCAATATATAAGTCAGATATATCAATTATTCAATAAATTTAAAAAATAAAATTTGCTTATAATTTATTACACATGAAATATTTGTTTTCGTGGAAGATTTCTAAAATATTATATTAGATTAACGGCTGTAGACTGCAATTTAAAATTAGGGTTTGGATCGCTATAGTTAGATGAGGAATTGTTGAAGTATGAAAACAATTAGCATTGTAAAAATATAAGAGAAGAATTCAATGTACCTATTGCCAAGAATGGAGTGGAAATGAATGATGAGTTCTTCTTCTTGAGGCGAAAACGCGCCGCGTTTAAGATCGGGTCTCAAGTAATTAATCCAACGAAGACGACAACTTTTGCCACATCTTAGAAGACCAGCATTTCTAGCAATGTCACTCCAACAGCCTTGTCCTTTAGTTATCATGTACCTTATCAACTTGTCATCTTCCTCAGGTGACCATAGACCTTTCCTTAGCTTGGTCTTGTTAATGTTGTTGTGTTCTTTTGGCATGATCATATCAGGTTTCCTCATTTGCATTAGAGAGAGAGAGAGAGTATAGTAGTTTGAGGTTGTTTGAGGAAGTGATTTGTGAAAGAGATACATGAGAAAGCTATATAGGTGAATGATGTTTTCAAGAGACAAGAGAGATAGAAAGCTTCATGGGGTGGGAAAGTGTAATGATGGTAGTGATGGTTTGTGGGGTTTGCTTAAAATATGAATATGAACTCTAGAGAGAGAGAGAGAGAGAGGTTGATATAGGTAGAGTGGAAAACGGATTGGAGGGGGACCCTAGAGAGAGAAAGAGAAGGATGGTTGTTCTTCTTGTCTTTGACTCAATTCTTGTCTTTTTGCGATATATTTTACTTCACTCACAAGGTAATCATTTATATAATATATGTGGAGCAGATACTATTTTGCTTCCACTTCACATAATAAATCTCTCTCTCTCTCTCTCTTGTTTGCTTGATTTTAAACTTCAATTTCACGTGTGTTGTAGCCAGAAAGAGAGAACAATATGCTGCCGCCAAAATTATTTAATTGGCATAAAATAGAATTTCATATTTCATATTTCATATTTCATATATTTGCATTTGCATTGATTAATCTCTCGAATAAATAATATTATATAGAGTCGATAAAAATTTTCGAAAATATTGAGAATTTGTATTTGATATATTATGGAAAAAATATATATGATGATGTTAGTGTGATGATTTGAATTAATTTTTTATTTAAATTAGGGTTTTGAATTTGAATTTGAATTCGACTCTTCAGTGATGTAATATTGTTAAAAAAAGTTAAGAGAATTTTATGATTTTGTACTAGTTTTTAATTTGAGAAAATAGATTTTGTAAATAAAAAGTATTAAATTTACATTTAAAAAGTTAAATTAGAAGATATATGGATCATCCTTATTATGTGTTAATCAAAATAGTTTTAAATTATTTAAAGAATTTATTAAAAATAATTTATATATAACACACTTAAAACTTAATTCTACCATAAATCTCTTTAATAAAATAAAGTTTTGTGAAAATTTTCATATTCAAAATGAACCATATTTCGTAAAGATAATGGGAAAAGTGAAGCATGGTTGACATATATTTGTTAATGTGAAAATTATATACAAATATTGTTGTGTGTAGCTCACACTCTTTGCAAACATATGTTTGTTAATGTGGAAAATTATTATTTATATATTGTTGTGTGAAGCTTACATTTTATGCATGAGTTTCATTAAGGGGCTAACCACTTATTGACATACTTCATAAACAAACAATGAACACCTCCCAACAAAGCAATGCTTTATTTATTTTTTTCTTTCATGGCATAATTTTGTCATTGACATACATTGGAGATTAAGGCTCATGAAAGGGACATATAAGATTTTATGACTTTGAGCCTTTTTTTAAACTTATATAATTTAATTTTTTGAAATTCACTACCAAATTTAATTTATCCCATATAGGAAAAATGCAATTAAATTTGTAGCATTACTTTTAATTTTTTTATTAATTAATTAGTAGTTCTTGTCAAAAGTTAATTGGTTGCAACAAATTATGCAAAAGTGAAACATGGGGTCACTTTGCCTTATAATAAGATTTTAGTCCTAACATATGCTAATTTTCAATCATTAAATATTATGATTTTGAGCTGTTAAGTGTTAAGTGTTTGATAAGAAATTTTACTTGACATTTAAGTACAATACGTGTATTTCTTATCATGTCATTCAAATATAATACGTGTATTTCTTATCCTTAGTAACTACCTTAGAATGTATCTACTTTTTCCCACCTTTTAATTTATCTTCAAATTAATCTAACCATTTTTGTGAATGTCTTATAATATGCTTAACAACTACAACAGTGGAAAATATCAACATTAATGGTTGATTCAAGTGAATTTGAAATTTGATTTTTTAAACAAGATTTTGAATTTGAAATTCGAATAAGTAATGTTAAGGGTCACACGCAAGAGCCGCAATGAAGAATGCTTTATAACAAGTGTTTAAGAAGGGACACGAAAAAGGTGAACCATTATCTCAGTTGAGTACGTTCTATCATGTCCTCCATCGCATTTTTCACAGTTGGATCTAATCATATTACAATCCACACATATAAAATCAAGTCGCATCATTTTAGATATTCAATTTGTTATCACTCTCAAGCTACTTGTCATTCAAACACTAACTTGGATGTTGGAGTGAACATTGTGTGTCCACCTCCTCTTCACCGTATCAGAAGTTTCCACCGCACCAAAAATTTAATTCAATGTGCATAAGCTATATTTCATCACTTCGTCACTTATCTTTGGTTCTCAAAGTGGAACAGTGGTAAGTGACTATTGATTTCAGCCATTGTTTCAAGAAAACCATCGTCTCTTTACTGAAGAATAAGACCATCGATCTTCTTCTCACAAAACACAAATCATTGATCTTCTTCTCACGAAACACCAATCTTGTTAAATCCATGGTTTTAGGTTTGACATAAATTTTGCTAAAACATGGTTATGGACTAATGATGAGCAATATGTCACAATATTTTAACCAACTGTCATGACAAGTTATATTGTCATGTATATCAGACAAATGTTGAGCAAGATGTCCTGAAATCTTGGCATATTATGCACAGGCGCTGTTGTTTTGTTTTCTTGAAGATTTGATTTAAAATACGAGATTCTGGAATATTCTAGTACTCATACAAGCGCACTAAATCAAGGGTATTTTAGGAACATGTGAATATTTGATTTGTTTCATTAAAAAAGGATCTTTGAGACTTTTTAGGAAACTATAAAAGATATGTTCCTATTTTTATGTGACGATCTTCCAGCTGATTTAAAAAGTGAAGATTGAATTTGATTTGAAGAGTGCAAGCCCATTCTGCAAGAGTCTATAAATAAGGACTTGCTATGACCTAAAATAGAAAGCATTCACATTGAAGAAACCGTGGGTGCAATATGAGGATTAGAGTTTTTAGAGTCTTTTAAGGTTTTAGTGTTTGTATTATTTGTATGTCACTCATGTATCTTTTGATGCATTAAGTTTGACTGATTGTTACTTGATTTTATCAAACTATTATTCTCACTCATGAGCTTTTAATAAAAGAGTTGAGTGTTGTTCTTAGTTGAAGATTTTAAGCAAAACTAAGATTTGTTTATTTGAAGTGTAATCTTTTGTTGGGTTTTTAAGTCTAGTCACAGTTTGTGGCTGTAGGTATCACTGCGGTGATTGTAAGTGAGGGGGGGTTATCATATCTAGGAGGTTCTTAGGTAGAAGTTGGACAAGGTAGTGATTGGGATAGAAGTTGTAAACTGAGACTGTTTAGGCTTCAAACTAATATTATCATAGTGGATTTCCTTCATGGCTTGGTAGCCTTGGAGTAGGTGTCGTTGCATCGAACTGGGTTAACAATTGATTGTGTTAGTTACTTTTCTGCAACCTGTGGTTTTTTATCAACAAATTTCATAACATTTATCCCGACATCATGTTTTATATTAAGAAATCAGTATTGATCTTTGTATTGCAAGTGTCAGAATTTCAATTGGCATCAGAGCAGGCATCATGTTCTGTCTATTAGGTGAGCTCCAAGGAGAATAATTTCGGGTACTATGGATAAAGAAGGGGGATACAACAATAGACCATCTATGTTAGATGGTTCCAATTATGATTTGTGGAAAGTTAAAATGGTGGCTTTTTTGAGTCCATGGACATTAAAGCTTCGAATGCTGTTTTGAAAGGATGGGAACATCCTATTAATACAGACAAAGATGGGAATGTGTCATTACATCCAGAGGAAGATTGGAAAGATGAGGATCTTGGAAATTCAAAGGACTTTAATGCTTTATTCAATGAAGTATACAAGAATGTTTTCAGGTTGATTAATACTTGCACTGTAGCAAAGGATGTTTGGGAAATTCTCAAGATAACTCATGAATGTACATATAAAGTAAAGATGTCAAGACTCTAGATTCTAACTTTTAAATTTGAGAATATATAAAGATGAATGATGATGAGACCATCAAGAATATCATATGAAGATTCTTGAAATAGTTAATGCATCTAGTGCCTTGGAAGAAAAGATGTCAGAAGAAAAGCTTGTTAGAAATATTCTTAGGTATATACTTAGGAAATTTGACATGAAGGTAACAATCATTAAAGAGGCTCATAACATCAGTAACATGGGGGTTGATGAACTTGTTGGCTCACTTCAAAAAATTTAGTTGGATATTAGTGATAAGTATGAGAAAAGAACAGGAGCATAACTTTTGTTACCAATGCTGAAGATGAAGAAGGCCAAGCTGATCTAGATACTGATGAAGGTTTGTCAAATACTATTATGTTACTTGGGAAACAATTCAATAGAATTATGAAGAGAATGGATAGAAGAGGAAGACCAGATGTTCAGAGCATCTCATCTGACATAGATAATAACTATGATGATCAAAAGAATACCAGAAAAGAAGACAAGACAAATCAAAGCAAAGGTATCAATGTTATAAATGTGAAGGTTTTGGTCATATTAGGCATGAATGTCCCAACTTTCTCAAGAAGTAGAAAAAGGGATTCATTGTATCTTGGTCTGATGATGATGAGTCAGAAGATGAGGCTAACCCTGAGACTTCTAAACTTGTGATGATTCTTTCTGGCAGATAGGTAGATGAAGTGGAAGCTTATGATAAAAGTGTTCTCTATGAAGTCCTTGATGTATCCCATAAGGACATGTGTGACAAGTGTGAAGAAAGTCTTAAGACAGTAGAAGAACATAGGAAGATAATAGTTGAATTTGAGAATGAAAAGAAGAATCTTATATGTTATGTTTCACATCTTCAAGGTGAGGCATCTCTCTTAAATTCCAAGCTTAATAACATGTCAGAATCTTTGAAGAAGATGAATAGTAGAGCTGGTATGATGAAAGAGGATGGAGATACAAAAGATGATTATCAACCTGATAATAAACAAATAAGAGTGTCTGAAAAGAAGTTATTTCCTCCTGAAAAGAATAGAATGATCAACATATCCAACAACATGTTAC